GGTGTCTCAGTCGGGGGGCAGCGAGGGGTGGAGGGCACCGGGAGGGCGAGCTGGCGTTTCGGGGCGACTCACGGGGAGGGGGCAGGGCGAGAGGAGCCGCGGGGGAAACGAGTTCGCCCGTTGTAGGCAGCCCCGGACCGGCGCAGGAGAAACTGCACTGTTGCGGTGCAACCAGTGTTGAGGCATGCCTGTCTTCGCGTGCCGGCCTGGAAGTCCGGTGCCTTAGGCAGTCTTAGTTTGCTGTAATTTACAATGTGAAGTCCAAAACTCAATTAAAAACTAATTAACATAAACAAACACGCTGTATTAGGCTCTAAGAACCGCACAGAGGAGCAAGATAGTCTTGGCGTGCAGATGTTTAAATGGGCTGGGCTAACACAGCAGCCATCCAACAGCAACAGAGTACACCATAAAATCCCAGATCTTATTGGTCTGAGCACGTTTTCTCATCTGTTTATTTTTGCTGCAGGGAAAAAAAAGCTTCATTTGACGTACTTTTTTTTTTCCTCCCTCACCTTTCAGATTATGTCATAAGTACAAGATAAACGAGCAGTGATGGAATCACTGGATACCGAGGTGAGAGCACGGAAGACTCTGGGGACTGTTGAATATGTAGAGTCTTCAGGTTTCACCCAGGGAATACTGCCAACCAAGAAGGATGTGGTTCAGAATATGCTGTATTTATTGCAGCCCAAAAGAGCTGGCCAGGCCCAGCGGTCCAAAGAGGATGCAGCCCAGTTGCTCGCTGAGCACCTGCAGGAGCACTGGTTGGTTTGCAACTTGCACACCATCGCGACACAAAATATAAAGAAACTTATCCTCAAAATGTACGAGGAGTTTACCAGATTGTATCAGACCAGAAAGCAGAGACAGAACCAGGCTTTTACCGAGCGAGCAGACAAATTCAATGAGAGTTCGGAGAAGCTCTTTGATGTATTTTGTACAGATGCGCAGACAAGAAATAAACTGGAGGAATACAGTGGAATAAAAATGACTAGCATTGAGTGGAAATTCCTTGAAGATCAAAGAAGTGAAAGAAAAATGTACTATGAAGATTTCACAGACAAGCAAGAATTGAAGATGATGGAAAGAAGACAAAAGATACAATGTCTGGAGCACTTCAGAAAACTTGCCAAGGAGGAGAAGGAAGGAAACAAAGCGAAGGAAATGAAATATAAAAGTGATGAGCAATCAGATGAAGGCACAAGTGTGGATGAGTCCTACCCCACGGAGGAGGAGAATGGCGGGGCTCCAGCCTTTTCGCTGCGGGGCAGAAGGAAGCGCCGGTGCACCATGACTCCTGCAAGCGCCGCCATGCCCCTGGAGTGTCAGCATATACGGATGAGCATCAGGAGAGTTAGGCCTGGGTTCTACGAGACTGTGGAGAAGGTCAAAAACTGCTAGCGCATGCCACAGTCAGCAGGCAGAGCTGCTGGAGTACGAGGTGGCAATGCACACGTTAGGCAAGTTTGAAATCCCACCATCAATTGGAAGTGATTGTTGTAGATCCCCAAGCCAGAGCTCAGGAACATCCTACCTCCGGGGAAGAGCACTGGGATGACAACAACAGCGGCAAGGACTAAAACACATGAATTTGGAAGGTTAAGTAGTCAGCAGCTAATGATGCGAAGACTCAAACGCAGCAGATGATGTAAGGTTACGTAGCGTATAAGCTTCTTCTTCCAAGGTCCTGTCTACATCAGTGGTTTTTTGGAAGTCTCTCACCATTTCTGAGCCAGTGGTGGCCTAACAGTATGAAGCAGGACTTGGGTTTACTGCAGGGAAATAACTTGGAGTTGTTGCTAATAGAAATTTTTTGTGCTGAAAAGCCCTAACTCCTGCTGGTTTTGGTGGGAGTGAAAGGTGCTCGGCCCCTTTCAGCAGAATTTGGCATTTCTGCGAGGAAGGAAGCTCGTTTTCAGCTTGTATTACCCAGTCCCAGAGAGGCACCCTGTGGTTTTGTGAAGGGATTGCTCTCTTGCTCGAGGAGGGGGAGAGAGAGATCAGAAGATATTTGAGTGTTTTGGCTGTAAAAGCATTGTTGATTCTGAATGTTTTATTCTAGATTCTATTTTAATGATGTTTCCTTGATCAGGATAAACTTTCCCATAATTGGATGAGTTTTAACATGAAGTCCCTAATCTAGGATCTGAGGTGTTAATCCTAAATGAAGTGGTAACGTTTTATCTTCTGGGGGGGTAAGATGGGGGGAAGGATGCAAATCGCGTTATTTAGTTTTAAGATGGGAAGAAATTTATAAACTCTTATCCTACCTTCTTAGGATATAGGGAAGAAAAAGCCTTCCCAAGTGTGGGTAGCTGTGGTATTTACAGCAAAAAGCACCTGAATCTGGGCTTGCTTTTCCACCCCCTGAGGTCCGTGCAGACCAGCAGGGTGGAAGTGGTAGTTTTCCACCCAGAGTTTGTTTGAACAAAGCATAACCCTCTTGCCCACGTACATCCTGAGCAGTGACGTGTCTGTGATTTTAGATACCTGCAGTACTAGGGTATCTTCTGGCTTTAGTTAGAGTTGCTTTACTGGTTTTTAAAGATGAGAGACTTGAACTTTCAGTGAAACCCAGTGCTGGAGGTCTCTCTGGTGAGATTCCCAAACCTTGCCAGACTACACTGAAAATTAAAAACCCCAAGTCTCTATTTGTCCACAGTAGTTCTCTGGTAGAAAGAGTGCAAACTTGCCTTTGTTTTCAAATTTACCTTTCAGTGTGAATGTTGGTTTCCCCACTCCAGTATCTCAGCTTTTCCCTATTTCTTTCCTCTCCGTCCTGCACATCATTTTACTGACATTAACTCGCGCTGTTTCATTCTTTGGCTTTTGCTCCCTTTAACAATAAATGCATGTACAAATAATTTTGACAGTTCCTTTACTTTTGATGAATCAGTTCTTGGACTGCTTTGAAGTCCTATGCTAAAGGAGGAATGAAATGCAAATTAGCTGCTGGTCCGACTGGGACACAGCAGAGCTAGTGAGTGCAAGAGGCGGTGGCAGCAGCCCTGGCCTTGCTGCTCAGGCAGGTCCCGGCGTACCTCTGCTCTGTCCCTCCACCTACGGACGGATCCGTCCGGCTCCAAGCGATGCATCGGCTTCCCAGTGACCTTGCTCATTAGCATTTGCTGGGATACTTATTCTGTGTCTCTGAGAAGTTCTTCATGGTAAGTTGCTCCAAAATATTTAGTGAACTCAGTGTATTCCGCACCACTCATAGTGTCGTTGCAGGTTTAATAGTGCGCATCCACGTTCTGCAACACCCTTCAGCCTCCGCTGCTTCAGAGTTTGCAGCCCTCTCTCTCCTCCTCTCTCTGACGTGCTTCACTGACTTCCCCGTGCAAAATTATGTCACGTTTAAACTATTTGCCTTCCAGCCTTGAGGTGCTGGACTTGAGCCTCTCACTGGGCTTTTACACCAGCAGCTCTGTTTCAGCAGGGAATATAGCCAAGCTCGGACCTCGCCGAAGTAGAATTTTTTTAATAACTGCTGTAAAACCCCCTTTGTATTACAAATATAGCTGACAGTATAAATGCTCGTGTGTAAAGCAAATCCACCAGGGTTGACTCGAATATGGAACACAGCTGTATAGTGCTTTATGATTTTCAAGGATTCAGGGAATTTAAGGTTGTCAAATCTGACTTCCTGTATACCACAGGGAATTACATTTCATTCAGAAGCCCCACACTCAGCCTACTAGTTTCAGTTTAACTGATGTGTCTTACAGAAAGTCGAGCTGAAGACGTCAGAAGTCTGCTGTCTTCCTCAGTTATACGCTTAGTGGTTTGTCACCTTTGCTGTTTTGAAAAAGAAAAAAAAAAAGTCTAACCATCTTCTAGGCTGTGATTCTTTTCATGACATCTTGTACAGGCTGAGCAGTGTTTATTGCATTTAAATCATACTTGTTTTTTTAACTGGGTTTGACTGTGGATAGAGCCAAAGCCTGGCTCTGTTTCTGCTGCAACAGGGGGAAAATTTCTAAATGATGTATTTGATTACTCTTCTTTGGGACCATGGTGCCTTTTTAATCAGGACAGTAAATCTTGTCCCAGGATTCTGTACTTTTGTACGTTAACAGTTGTTGACTTTCCTTTTTTGGTGTGTCCCAAATAAATTAATATAACATACCTCTGGGCTTTTGTTTCTTCTTTCTAAAGGGGGAGGAAAGAGGAAACTGAAGCTAAAGTAAATCTTATCTACTCCATCTCTCCCTGATGGGCTCTTGCAGGAGCAGCCGTGAAGCATGCAGGTGGACCTGCTCTCATCCGGACTGTGGGGCAACAGTAGGGAAGCTGCTAGAAATGGGAGTCTAGGATCAGGGCCCCACCTGGAGCAGTTTTTTTACCAAAAATGCTGGAGCCTGGAGCAGCTGAAGGTAAGGGGAGAGGGATGAAACCTCTGCACATGGTGGCACTGTTTCACTTGGGCTCTCGGTGTGCTTCAGGCACGGGGAGGTTGGTACTGGAGACAACAAGGGGAGGCACCCTGCCTTCCTGGGGTGATCCTGCAGGTGGGTTCCCCACTTCTGCCTGTTCTCTCCTGACTGTGATTCAGGGACATGTATGAGATGAGCACAGGGCACGTGGTGTCCAAGACACATGCGGGGCGATGGTTCACGTCACGGGACCTCGGCATGGAAGGGAAATGGGAAAGGAAGAAATGCTGGAAAGGGTGCATCTGCTTCAACAGCTTGTTGTGGGAGGAGGGAATCAAGGTGCATCCCAGGGGCTACAAATGCTTTTGATGCGTGCTGAGCTGGTGATTTAACTGGGCGTTTGTGGAGAAACATCTTCAGCCTTCGCAGTCAGCTTTGAGCTCAGATTGAGCTTGCCTACCATGAACCTTTCACTCTGATTTCTGCAAGGGGAGCAAAAGGAAAGGGAGGGCATCCCAAAACGCGAGCGTGGTCAGGCTCCTCTGTGCCCCAGCCTTGGGCCCTCGCAGCCAGGCAGGACTTGTGCCAGCCCCAGGGAGGGTTGTACAGCCCTCTGCAAGCAAAAGCTCTTTTCACAGCCCTTACAAGTACCTTACAGCTGCCAAGGTCTGCTCTAAGCGAGGTCATACACAAACACCTGCCTGATCTCCCAGGACGTACGTGCCTCTTCACATGGCACCTGGCAGCTGCTGCTCTGCTCCCTGTGGAGTGTATCAGAAAGGGGAAAGAACATGAAAAAAGCCAACCCATAATGCAAATTATTGCACTACTGAGCGGGCTGGATGTGGAAAACAGTCTACCTATGATTCAGAGCACAGAAACAGTCACAAAGTTGGAGTTTAAACCAAGTCCAAGCCCAGTACTGTGGGCACACGGCTCGCAGCTGTGTTGAGCAGCTCCTGCCTGTGAAGGAGCTCCTGTAACTGCTGGTGGGTGGGCATGGGGAGGGGACAGCCACCAGCTGCCCCTGCAGCAAGCACTGGAGCCTTGTCCTGGAAGTGCCAGACAGCTTAACGCAGGGTGACGGTGACAAATTGTGGCTCTGCAGGTGGGATGCTGGGGAAAATAGTTTTCCCAGGAAGGGTGGAGCAGACCTGTGAAACTGTGTCATGACCGTGCTTGTGCTCAGCACCTGTGGCCAGGCTGCAGGGGATCTCCAGGAGGGGAGATGAACCTCCCACTTTGCTCGACACCCATGTTTTGTTCCTTGGGTGGGCGCATCAGGCAGGTCGTGGTGAAGCCGTCCCCACCACAGCAGCGCCAGACACTGAAATCCTGGTATGGGGCACAGCAACCTGGCATGGCGCCTGCCAAACCCCCATCCCAAGGCTCCTGGTGCTTCCCCAGGAAAAGTCACCCCAAATCCTGAAAGGAGCTTCAGGGCGAGCTTTTCAATGATAAACTCATTAATGTATTAACCAGAAATGTATGAGGGTATTTCCTGCTCTCCTGGAGGGTGTTGTCTTGTTATTCTTCCTGAGTTTCTGGACAGCAGCCGCTGCCTCCTGGCATGGCTTTGGAGCCAGTGGATACTGCTCCAGGCTTTTAGGATTTACTGCTAACTGTCCCTACCCGTGTCGCTTTGCTCTGTGCGATGGAGCATCCCCTCTTGCACCCCTTCCCCATCCCACTCAGGTTGGTTTTGCTGTACGGCGGGCATCAGGCACTGCCCTGTGGTGTGGAGACGGCTGTACATGGCCACAGCACCCCTGGCTGAGCCTTCTGGGCAGCAGGGACACATCTCTAGACGGAGAGAGTCTAGAAATTAATCCTGGTGAAATCCCAAATATTCAGGAAGAGGGATGGGAGCTTTGCAGCTTTCTCTTTCCTGGGTGCCTGGTACAGAGCAGCCAGACCCCCCAGACTTTTATATGCCAGATGCTCCCGAGGAGCCAGTTTCCCCTGGCTCCAAGTTTTTTACATCTGCGTATTTCCAGTGAAATCACTTTATTGCCCAATTTCCCAGAGTGGGCGATGACAGAGCTGCGGGCAGCGCCTGTCCAGGTAATCCCCAGGCTCGCTCGTGGAGCTGCCGTCACTCTGGCAGGCTGGAGGGCAGCAATGCATGCTTCAAGCAGGCTGTTTGCTTGTTCAGCGTCTGTAATTGTACCCAAACGCACGTTTGTAGAGTTTCTTTGGTGTCAGTGCTTTCCTGCCAGCCCGCAGAAGGTAGTTTGCAGGTAGCCAAGGCAAATATTCCTGTTTTCCCCCACTGTCGAGATGTTACTTCCCACGTGCTCCTGCGGTCAAGTTTCTGGATGAGAGAAGCAGGTGCTGCGGAAAGTCCAGAAATTTTGGGGCAACGCCTGGCTGACCATGGGGACGAGAGAGGCGGGGGCCCCTGCACCAGCACCCTGGCTGACCCCCTCTCCCCAGCCACCCCAGGGTGGTCACCACGGGGTTGGGTGTCCTTCAGCAGCAGTGGCAGCTAATGTCACACCAGCTGTTGATGCCCCAGGCTGGGGAGCAGCCTGACCCCCAGCCGGAGCTGGGGACACAGTGGTACCGTGGGGGCAAGCCCAGCCATGCCGCAGGGGCAGCTGGTGGCGGGAGGGGCGATCTCAGGTTACGTGGCGGCGTACAGAAATGAGTGGGGCTGCCGGATCCTGATGAGGTTCCCGCTGTC